CCATTCATTAGAGGACTCAACCCAGCAGGAGTCTGTTTATGAGTGAAAAAATGCATTTTACTGAAGCCTATGTTTAGTGTCGGTTGTGGGAAAAGAAGTATCTAATATCAGAAATAAAAATATAATGTTTAAAGTTCATACAAGCAGTTGAGCTGTATTACAAGATTTATAATTTGGTTGTATGCAAAGTGACCGAATGTTTTGGAAGTGAAGTGCATTTGAAGTGGCATGGGAAACGTAGAAGGTAAAGCGACCGGAGGAAGGCGGCGCGTGGATCCCCCCTACTGCACGGCACGCCCCCTTCCTCCCCTGCCGAACGACGACGAGGAGGAGGACCTGGACCTTGATTCTCCGCCTCCGTACCCGCCTCCGCCGCCGCCTTCAGAAGAGCGGTCCAAGCGGTATTCCTGGCGGATGTCTGACTCCGCCGTCTTTGGCCAAGGCGAAAATAAGAGGCGCTCGTGGCTACTCAACTTAACCAACGGAGGCGACAAAACGAAGAGTAAAATGGCGAAAGACGGTAAGGATGTCGATGATGTTAACAGTAAGATCAGTGTAGGTAGCATGGATGTGTCAGGGGGAGTTGGAGTGAAAGCTTCCTTTAATGAACCACATATAAATATCCAAGAAAATTCTTGGACTGTCGAGGGGAAGCCCGACGCAAACCAAACGACGGGGAAGGAAACCCATGTGTATACGTACAACATTTCTGATAAGGAAAAGTCTATGCAGGGAGAGAAAGTCATAAAGATGAAGACTGAGTATGTGAGAGGAGAAGACAGTAGTGCACCGGGATACAGTGTTCTTCACGAATGTCTTCAGCATGACATGAACTCCGAAGGCAGAATGATTCATGATCAAAACAATACACAGCTTCCATCTTTGGATCTTAGCTGTACATCCAACATGAGTGATGAACTGAAGAATGTCATTGACGAGCTTCGAGGCAAGCCATCCACTGAAGACAGCACTGTATTTCGAAGTGTATCCGAACACAAACGATTTGTCAGTATCACGACTACGACTAAGAAGGAAGTATCTTCGCATATTAATATTAATGGCAAAGAATATAGTTCAACCACAAATGATTCTCTTAGTAAGCTGGAGGCAGAACTAAGTGCGTTGCTCTCTCCTGAACTGGAATTACACACCAATTCTGAGACAGTCAATAACAAAAACACTTCCGTTTCCATGCGCATGGAAAATGGACATGGGTCTGGGGCAAATGTGGGGTTAGGTTCTAGCACCAGTCAGGCTCATAGTTCACAAGTAAACCAAAGCTATAACATATCAGTGACACCAACACTCCCATTACCAGACATTCAAGAGTTCTCTGGTAAAGGTATTCCATTGCTGCCCGACCTTGTGAAGGGCAACAATAAGGGAGCCATTAATGTTGAAAGTTCACTACAGGGGCGTGACAAAAATGTAAATGTGGGGGCGGGAGGCAGTATAACCGGCCCGACTTGTGATGTTCAACTTGACAAAAGAGGAGATTTTGGAGGTGGAAGATTAGATGCAAAGTTTGATAGTTCATTACCACAGGGTAAAGGAGAAATTGATGGATTACACATAGGGGGAGATATTTCAGGTCCCAGATTAGATGTGTCAGCCGAAGGCAGCAAGATCCATACTCCAGGGGTAGCCTTGGCAGGTGAGAGTCTGCCACGGGGAGATTTCAGCATGTCAGTGGAGCCAGGGATTTCTGTTGCACCTGATGTAGGCAAGCCTGCCACTAAGAGTAAGAAACAGTCATCTGGGCCTTGTGCTTGTTTGAGCAGTCCTAAGAAAATCGAACAAGAAGAGCCATACATATCAGCGGGGGTTCAAGGGGAAGTTAAAGGAGAATTGCCCACAGTGCCTGCTGGCTCAGTAGAAGTAGAAGGGGTAGACCCAGGTCTTAGAACCGAAGGTACAGCTACTGCAGAGATTCCCCAGAAAAAACGCTCTGGTCCAAAATCTAAACTTGGATCGTGCTTTGGTAAGCCTAAATCACCTGAAGTTGATACCCCAAAAGCAGATGTTAAAGGAGAGGTTGAAGTTAAGAGTCCAAGACCAACTGCAGAGCCAAAAGCAGAAGCAAGTGTAAATATCCAAGTGCCAGATGAGAATGTGAAAATTGGAAAAGATCCTGAGAAGAAAAAGATCAAGTTTGGCTCATGTTTTGGAAAGCCAAAAGAACCAGAGTGTGATGTAAAAGGAGAATCATACAGAGTGATATCAGATGATCAAGAACTTGGAGGCAAGTTAGATGTTAGTGCTGTATCACCGACACCTGTGCCTCAAGTTAGTTTAGCAACTACTACAGGTGATATCAGTTTTCAGGCAAAACCAGTAAATGTTTCACCATCTTTGAAATGTGACATACCTGATTTCCCAAAAGTTGAAGCTAATGTGGAAACTAGGGCAGGAGTAACTGGAGATATTGAGGGTGGTTTTTCAGGTGATATCCATAAGGGAGGGGATGTACAAATCCAAACAAATGTTCCTAAAATTGGAGGTAAAATTGCCAGTAAAGAATATACTGCAGACAGTGAAATTTCCAGAATTCCCGGAAGTATGGATATCAGTATTCCAGGCTTTTCCCAAAGTACCCCTAAAGCTACAATAGAAGGGTCATCAAGAGCTAACTTTAATAGTGACATCAGTCTCGACATTGAAGGAAAGACTCCAGATGCAAAGATTAAAGGAGAAATGCCTGGCTTGTCTTTAGAAGGTAATTTGCCAAGTATGTATGCATCAGGGGAAAAGACAAATATCAAATATTCTGAAGATGCTCCTAAAGTGAAAATAGAAGGAAAGCTACCAGAACCTAAAGGAGACATTAATGTTGACTTTGGAATTGATTTGCCACATGTAGCTGGAACAGAAAAAGAATTGGAAATCAAAGCTGCAGATGTACCAGGTGTTGCTGTTAAGAGCGACTTACCTGTCATTGATTCCCCTAGAGGAGAGGTTTCCATACCAAGCAGTCCAATCAAGCCATCTGTAGGTATTAAAGCTGAAGTTAAAGGTCCAAAGGGATCAACATCCCTTGATGTACCTAGTATAAAACCAAAGACAAAGAAAGCTAAGTTAGGTCCATGTGCTTGTTTAGGTAAATCAGGGAAGATGGATATTGAAGAACCATATATAGAAAAGGAAGGTGAAGTTAGTGGAAGATTTGAAAATGTTGACGCAGACATAGGAGTTAAAGTAGAAGGACCAAAGGTAGAGGGACCTGAAGCCCAAATTGCAGTTGATGTAGAATCTCCAGAGACAAAAACTGGCAAAGCCAAGGCCTCAGGAAAGCCTAAGATGTCATTAGGATCTTGCTTTGGAAAAGCAAAACCACCTAGTGCCCATGGTGATGTATCAACTGATGTTGGTGTTGAAGGAACCATTTCTGCTGAGCCACACGTCAAAGTTGAAGGGGCAGATGTAGAAGGTCCTAGTGCAGATATTTCCCTTCCTAAAGGAAAAGCTGAAATTGACATCGAATCTCCAGAAGTTAAAGTGAAAGGAGGAAAAGTTTCAGGCAAACCAAAAGTGACATTTGGACCCTGTTTTGGTAAAGGTAAAAGTAAGGGTAAAGATGTAGAAGCAGAAAGTGAATACAGAATTGAAGGCCCTTCTGTTAGTGGTGAGATTAGTCCTTCATCACCTGAGCTAAGAGCAGATGTCAGTGTTGAATCACCTAAAGCCAAAATCAAAGGGGAGAAACCCAAAACTAAGTTGGGATCTTGCTTTGGAAAACCCAAAGAACCAAAAGTTGAGGGTGAATATCAAGCAGGAAAAATAGCTGTTGAAGGTCCTGAAGTCAGTAGTAAAGTAGAAGTTCCTTCTGGTGAGGCAAGTGTTGCATCACCATCAGTGAGTGTAGATATCAGTGCTGAATCACCTGAAGCTAAAATTAAAGGGGAGAAACCTAAATCTAAGCTGGGGTCTTGCTTTGGTAAACCAAAAGGCCCAAAAGTTGAAGGGGAGTATAAGCCAGCCACAGTTCAGGTTGAAAGTTCTGGAGCTAGTGGTGACATTAAAATCGCACCACCAGAGATAAGAGGAGATATTGATGCCGAAACCCCTAAAGTAGAAATCAAAGGAGAAAAGCCAAAGTCAAAGCTTGGATCTTGCTTTGGAAAACCCAAAGGCCCTGAAGCTGAGGGTGAATACAAACCAAGTAAACTAGAAGTTGAAGGTCCATCTGTTAGTGGAGAGGCTAGTGTTGGATCTCCCAAAATTAGTGGAGATGTTAGTGCTGAGTTACCAAAAGGTGATGTTAAAGGAGGAAAGCCCAAAGCTAAGTTGGGATCTTGTTTTGGGAAGCCTAAAGAGCCGAATGCAGAGGGTGAATATCAACCAGCCAAACTAAACATTGATGAGCCCTCGGTTAGTGGTGAGGTGAGTGTCAAATCACCAGAGGTAGGTGGAAACATTAAATCACCAAAGCTAAGTGCAGATGCAAGCATTAAACATCCTGATGCAGAGATTAAAGGAAAGAAGCCAAAAGCTAAATTAGGGTCTTGTTTTGGGAAATCTAAATCGGCAGAAATTGAAGGAAAGGTTGAAGCTGAAAGACCAGAGATAAGTGCAGAAGTTGATGTTTCATCACCTGAGCTTAAAGGTGATGTAAGTATTGAATCACCAGATGTGAAAATTAAGGGAGAAAAACCAAAATCTAAATTGGGATCATGTTTTGGTAAGCCTAAAACACCTGGAGTAGAAGGCGAATATAAAGTTAGTACTGAGAGACCCGAAGCAAAGGCAGAGGTTTCAGTCAGTTCTCCTGATGTTAAAGGTGATATTGACATAGAATCTCCAGATATAAAGGTGAAAGGAAGTAAACCAAAGACCAAATTTGGATCATGCTTTGGAAAACCCAAGAGTGGAAAACTGGAAGGGGAATACAAGCCAGGCAGAGTTGATGTAGAAGGTCCTGAAGTGAGTGCAGGAGCCAGCATCAAGCGCCCTGACATTGAAGGTGAAATTGATATTGAATCGCCTGAAGTAGAAGTGAAGGGTAAAAAGGTTTCTGGAAAGCCAAAAGCCAAACTAGGATCTTGCTTTGGCAAACCCAAAGAACCCAAAGTTAAAGGAGAAATAGACATTGAAGGTCCAAGAGTAGAAGGTGAAGTGCCTACTGGAAAAGCTGAAGTAGATGTCAAGGGTCCTGAGATGAAAGTGAAGAATAAGAAGGTAAAAGGAAAATCTGCTCCACTATGTGCTTCATGCATTGGAAAGGCATCACCTCCAGATGTAGATATAGATGCTGATGTAGAACCAGGAAGCATCAAGATTCGTCCCGAAAAACCAAGCATGGGAGGTAAAATATCAGTGGAAGGTCCAAGTATTGATGTTGAACCATCAGTAAAAGTAAAGGGACCTTCAATGCCAGAAGTACCAGAAATGAAAGGTCATTTGGATGTGGATGCAGATCTACCTGATTTTGAACCTTCCATAAAAATCAAAGGTGATATTCCAGATATCCCAAAAGTAGAAGCTGAAATAGGAGGGAAAGCAGATATTCCAGAAATTGAAATCAAGGGTAATGTGCCAGCACTTCCAAAGATAGAGGCAAGTGTGGATGCACCTGAATTGAAAGTGGAAGGAGAGTTACCAAAACTGAAAACCGAAGGTGACATTGACATTGGAATAAATGTTCCAAGTATTTCAGGAGATATTAAGGGAATAAATATTGAAACACCTGAGTCCCAAGTGGTAAAATTGAAGGAGATATTAAAGGTGACTTACCAAGCATTGATATTCCTAAAGCTGAAGTGTCTCTACCAGCAGGCCCTGAATTACCAAGTGCAGAAATCAAGGGAGAATTGAAAGGTCCAGAGATCTCGGGATCAGCCCAACTACCAAAGGCTGAACTAAAGACAAAGAAAGCCAAACTTGGTCCATGTGCTTGTTTAGGCAAATCAGGCAAAATTGGCAAAGAAGAACCATACATGGCAGCAGAAGCTGGAGGAAAAGTAAGTGGAGAAGTTGAAGGCGTAGATGTGAGCGTAGAAGGACCCAAAGGTAGTGTTGGAGTAGATGTTGAATCTCCTGAGATAAAGGGTAAGAAAGTAAAGGCTTCAGGTAAGCCTAAAATGTCATTAGGATCTTGCTTTGGGAAAGCAAAACCACCTAGTGCCCGTGGTGATATATCAGCTGATGCTGGTGTTGAAGGAACCATTTCTGCAGAGCCACACATCAAAGTTGAAGGAGCAGGAATTGCAGGTCCTAGTGCAGATATTACCCTTCCTGAAGGAAAGGTTGAAGCTGATATTGAATCCCCAGAAGTTAAAGTGAAAGGAGGAAAAGTATCAGGCAAACCGAAGATGAAATTTGGACCATGTTTCGGCAAAGGAAAAGATGTAGACGTAGAAGGCGAATACAAACCAGGTAAAGTAGAAGTTAAAGGTCCATCTGTCAGCGGTGAAGTTGGTGCCGCCTCTCCTGAAATGAGTGGAGATATTAGTGTTGAATCACCTGAAGCCAAAATCAAAGGAGAAAAGCCCAAGTCTAAACTAGGATCCTGCTTTGGAAAACCCAAAGGGCCAAAGGTGGAAGGTGAATATAAGCCAGTCAAAGTTAGTGCCGAGAGTCCAGAAGTTAGTGGTGAAATTGCTGTTGCCTCACCAGAGATAAGTGCAGAGATCAGTGCTGAACAGCCCAAAGCTAAAATCAAAGGGGAGAAACCTAAATCAAAATTAGGATCTTGCTTTGGTAAGTCCAAAGGCCCAAAAGTTGAAGGAGAATATAAACCAAGCATTGATGTTGAAGGCCCAGAAGTAAGTGGTGAAGTAGCGGTTCCATCAGCCGAAGTTAAGGGCGACATTAAGGTTGATTCACCTGATGTTAAATTGAAAGGAGGAAAACCCAAATCAAAGTTTGGATCCTGCTTTGGAAAACCAAAATCACCTGAAATTGAGGGTGAATATAAACCAGGAAAAGTAAGTGTAGAAGGACCTGAAGCAGAGGCTGGAGTTTCAGTCCAATCTCCTGCTATTAAGGGTGATGTTGATCTAGAGTCTCCTGAGATAAAGGTGAAAGGCAGTAAACCAAAGACCAAATTTGGATCATGCTTTGGAAAACCCAAGAGTGGAAAACTGGAAGGGGAATACAAGCCAGGAAGAGTTGACGTAGAAGGTCCTGAAGTAAGTGCAGGAGCCAGCGTCAAGCGTCCTGATATTGAAGGAGAAATTGATATTGAATCGCCTGAAGTAGAAGTGAAGGGTAAAAAGGTTTCTGGAAAGCCAAAAGCCAAACTAGGATCTTGCTTTGGCAAACCCAAAGAACCCAAAGTTAAAGGAGAAATAGACATTGAAGGTCCAAGAGTAGAAGGTGAAGTGCCTACTGGAAAAGCTGAAGTAGATGTCAAGGGTCCTGAGATGAAAGTGAAGAATAAGAAGGTAAAAGGAAAATCTGCTCCACTATGTGCTTCATGCATTGGAAAGGCATCTCCTCCAGATGTAGATATAGATGCTGATGTAGAACCAGGAAGCATCAAGATTCGTCCCGAAAAACCAAGCATGGGAGGTAAAATATCAGTGGAAGGTCCAAGTATTGATGTTGAACCATCAGTAAAAGTAAAGGGACCTTCAATGCCAGAAGTACCAGAATTGAAAGGTCATTTGGATGTGGATGCAGATCTACCTGATTTTGAACCTTCCATAAAAATCAAAGGTGATATTCCAGATATCCCAAAAGTAGAAGCTGAAATAGGAGGGAAAGCAGATATTCCAGAAATTGAAATCAAGGGTAATGTGCCAGCACTTCCAAAGATAGAGGCAAGTGTGGATGCACCTGAATTGAAAGTGGAAGGAGAGTTACCAAAACTGAAAACCGAAGGTGACATTGAAATAAATGTTCCAAGTATTTCAGGAGATATTAAGGGAATAAATATTGAAACACCTGAGTTCCCAAGTGGTAAAATTGAAGGAGATATTAAAGGTGACTTACCAAGCATTGATATTCCTAAAGCTGAAGTGTCTCTACCAGCAGGCCCTGAATTACCAAGTGCAGAAATCAAGGGAGAATTGAAAGGTCCAGAGATCTCGGGATCAGCCCAACTACCAAAGGCTGAACTAAAGACAAAGAAAGCCAAACTTGGTCCATGTGCTTGTTTAGGCAAATCAGGCAAAATTGGCAAAGAAGAACATACATGGCAGCAGAAGCTGGAGGAAAAGTAAGTGGAGAAGTTGAAGGCGTAGATGTGAGCGTAGAAGGACCCAAAGGTAGTGTTGGAGTAGATGTTGAATCTCCTGAGATAAAGGGTAAGAAAGTAAAGGCTTCAGGTAAGCCTAAAATGTCATTAGGATCTTGCTTTGGGAAAGCAAAACCACCTAGTGCCCGTGGTGATATATCAGCTGATGCTGGTGTTGAAGGAACCATTTCTGCAGAGCCACACATCAAAGTTGAAGGAGCAGGAATTGCAGGTCCTAGTGCAGATATTACCCTTCCTGAAGGAAAGGTTGAAGCTGATATTGAATCCCCAGAAGTTAAAGTGAAAGGAGGAAAAGTATCAGGCAAACCGAAGATGAAATTTGGACCATGTTTCGGCAAAGGAAAAGATGTAGACGTAGAAGGCGAATACAAACCAGGTAAAGTAGAAGTTAAAGGTCCATCTGTCAGCGGTGAAGTTGGTGCCGCCTCTCCTGAAATGAGTGGAGATATTAGTGTTGAATCACCTAAAGCCAAAATCAAAGGAGAAAAGCCCAAGTCTAAACTAGGATCCTGCTTTGGGAAACCCAAAAGCCCAGAAGGAGAAATCGAATATAAGCCTGCTAAAATTTCAGCTGAAAGTCCAGCAGTCTCTGGTGAAATTGGTGGTGCATCAGCTGAGATGAAGGGTGATATTAGTGTTGATTCACCTGATGTTAAATTGAAAGGAGGAAAACCCAAATCAAAGTTTGGATCCTGCTTTGGAAAACCAAAATCACCTGAAATTGAGGGTGAATATAAACCAGGAAAAGTAAGTGTAGAAGGACCTGAAGCAGAGGCTGGAGTTTCAGTCCAATCTCCTGCTATTAAGGGTGATGTTGATCTAGAGTCTCCTGAGATAAAGGTGAAAGGCAGTAAACCAAAGACCAAATTTGGATCATGCTTTGGAAAACCCAAGAGTGGAAAACTGGAAGGGGAATACAAGCCAGGAAGAGTTGACGTAGAAGGTCCTGAAGTAAGTGCAGGAGCCAGCGTCAAGCGTCCTGACATTGAAGGTGAAATTGATATTGAATCGCCTGAAGTAGAAGTGAAGGGTAAAAAGGTTTCTGGAAAGCCAAAAGCCAAACTAGGATCATGCTTTGGCAAACCCAAAGAACCCAAAGGAGAAATAGACATTGAAGGTCCAAGAGTAGAAGGTGAAGTGCCTACTGGAAAAGCTGAAGTAGATGTCAAGGGTCCTGAGATGAAAGTAAAGAATAAGAAGGTAAAAGGAAAATCTGCTCCACTATGTGCTTCATGCATTGGAAAGGCATCACCTCCAGATGTAGATATAGATGCTGATGTAGAACCAGGAAGCATCAAGATTCGTCCCGAAAAACCAAGCATGGGAGGTAAAATATCAGTGGAAGGTCCAAGTATTGATGTTGAACCATCAGTAAAAGTAAAGGGACCTTCAATGCCAGAAGTACCAGAATTGAAAGGTCATTTGGATGTGGATGCAGATCTACCTGATTTTGAACCTTCCATAAAAATCAAAGGTGATATTCCAGATATCCCAAAAGTAGAAGCTGAAATAGGAGGGAAAGCAGATATTCCAGAAATTGAAATCAAGGGTAATGTGCCAGCACTTCCAAAGATAGAGGCAAGTGTGGATGCACCTGAATTGAAAGTGGAAGGAGAGTTACCAAAACTGAAAACCGAAGGTGACATTGACATTGGAATAAATGTTCCAAGTATTTCAGGAGACATTAAGGGAATAAATATTGAAACACCTGAGTTCCCAAGTGGTAAAATTGAAGGAGATATTAAAGGTGACTTACCAAGCATTGATATTCCTAAAGCTGAAGTGTCTCTACCAGCAGGCCCTGAATTACCAAGTGCAGAAATCAAGGGAGAATTGAAAGGTCCAGAGATCTCGGGATCAGCCCAACTACCAAAGGCTGAACTAAAGACAAAGAAAGCCAAACTTGGTCCATGTGCTTGTTTAGGCAAATCAGGCAAAATTGGCAAAGAAGAACCATACATGGCAGCAGAAGCTGGAGGAAAAGTAAGTGGAGAAGTTGAAGGCGTAGATGTGAGCGTAGAAGGACCCAAAGGTAGTGTTGGAGTAGATGTTGAATCTCCTGAGATAAAGGGTAAGAAAGTAAAGGCTTCAGGTAAGCCTAAAATGTCATTAGGATCTTGCTTTGGGAAAGCAAAACCACCTAGTGCCCGTGGTGATATATCAGCTGATGCTGGTGTTGAAGGAACCATTTCTGCAGAGCCACACATCAAAGTTGAAGGAGCAGGAATTGCAGGTCCTAGTGCAGATTTACCCTTCCTGAAGGAAAGGTTGAAGCTGATATTGAATCCCCAGAAGTTAAAGTGAAAGGAGGAAAGTATCAGGCAAACCGAAGATGAAATTTGGACCATGTTTCGGCAAAGGAAAAGATGTAGACGTAGAAGGCGAATACAAACCAGGTAAAGTAGAAGTTAAAGGTCCATCTGTCAGCGGTGAAGTTGGTGCTGCCTCTCCTGAAATGAGTGGAGATATTAGTGTTGAATCACCTGAAGCCAAAATCAAAGGAGAAAAGCCCAAGTCTAAACTAGGATCCTGCTTTGGAAAACCCAAAGGGCCAAAGGTGGAAGGTGAAATATAAGCCAGTCAAAGTTAGTGCCGAGAGTCCAGAAGTTAGTGGTGAAATTGCTGTTGCCTCACCAGAGATAAGTGCAGAGATCAGTGCTGAACAGCCCAAAGCTAAAATCAAAGGGGAGAAACCTAAATCAAAATTAGGATCTTGCTTTGGTAAGTCCAAAGGCCCAAAAGTTGAAGGAGAATATAAACCAAGCATTGATGTTGAAGGCCCAGAAGTAAGTGGTGAAGTAGCGGTTCCATCAGCCGAAGTTAAGGGCGACATTAAGGTTGATTCACCTGATGTTAAATTGAAAGGAGGAAAACCCAAATCAAAGTTTGGATCCTGCTTTGGAAAACCAAAATCACCTGAAATTGAGGGTGAATATAAACCAGGAAAAGTAAGTGTAGAAGGACCTGAAGCAGAGGCTGGAGTTTCAGTCCAATCTCCTGCTATTAAGGGTGATGTTGATCTAGAGTCTCCTGAGATAAAGGTGAAAGGCAGTAAACCAAAGACCAAATTTGGATCATGCTTTGGAAAACCCAAGAGTGGAAAACTGGAAGGGGAATACAAGCCAGGAAGAGTTGACGTAGAAGGTCCTGAAGTAAGTGCAGGAGCCAGCGTCAAGCGTCCTGACATTGAAGGTGAAATTGATATTGAATCGCCTGAAGTAGAAGTGAAGGGTAAAAAGGTTTCTGGAAAGCCAAAAGCCAAACTAGGATCATGCTTTGGCAAACCCAAAGAACCCAAAGTTAAAGGAGAAATAGACATTGAAGGTCCAAGAGTAGAAGGTGAAGTGCCTACTGGAAAAGCTGAAGTAGATGTCAAGGGTCCTGAGATGAAAGTGAAGAATAAGAAGGTAAAAGGAAAATCTGCTCCACTATGTGCTTCATGCATTGGAAAGGCATCACCTCCAGATAGATATAGATGCTGATGTAGAACCAGGAAGCATCAAGATTCGTCCCGAAAAACCAAGCATGGGAGGTAAAATATCAGTGGAAGGTCCAAGTATTGATGTTGAACCATCAGTAAAAGTAAAGGGACCTTCAATGCCAGAAGTACCAGAATTGAAAGGTCATTTGGATGTGGATGCAGATCTACCTGATTTTGAACCTTCCATAAAAATCAAAGGTGATATTCCAGATATCCCAAAAGTAGAAGCTGAAATAGGAGGGAAAGCAGATATTCCAGAAATTGAAATCAAGGGTAATGTGCCAGCACTTCCAATAGAGGCAAGTGTGGATGCACCTGAATTGAAAGTGGAAGGAGAGTTACCAAAACTGAAAACCGAAGGTGACATTGACATTGGAATAAATGTTCCAAGTATTTCAGGAGATATTAAGGGAATAAATATTGAAACACCTGAGTTCCCAAGTGGTAAAATTGAAGGAGATATTAAAGGTGACTTACCAAGCATTGATATTCCTAAAGCTGAAGTGTCTCTACCAGCAGGCCCTGAATTACCAAGTGCAGAAATCAAGGGAGAATTGAAAGGTCCAGAGATCTCGGGATCAGCCCAACTACCAAAGGCTGAACTAAAGACAAAGAAAGCCAAACTTGGTCCATGTGCTTGTTTAGGCAAATCAGGCAAAATTGGCAAAGAAGAACCATACATGGCAGCAGAAGCTGGAGGAAAAGTAAGTGGAGAAGTTGAAGGCGTAGATGTGAGCGTAGAAGGACCCAAAGGTAGTGTTGGAGTAGATGTTGAATCTCCTGAGATAAAGGGTAAGAAAGTAAAGGCTTCAGGTAAGCCTAAAATGTCATTAGGATCTTGCTTTGGGAAAGCAAAACCACCTAGTGCCCGTGGTGATATATCAGCTGATGCTGGTGTTGAAGGAACCATTTCTGCAGAGCCACACATCAAAGTTGAAGGAGCAGGAATTGCAGGTCCTAGTGCAGATATTACCCTTCCTGAAGGAAAGGTTGAAGCTGATATTGAATCCCCAGAAGTTAAAGTGAAAGGAGGAAAAGTATCAGGCAAACCGAAGATGAAATTTGGACCATGTTTCGCAAAGGAAAAGATGTAGACGTAGAAGGCGAATACAAACCAGGTAAAGTAGAAGTTAAAGGTCCATCTGTCAGCGGTGAAGTTGGTGCCGCCTCTCCTGAAATGAGTGGAGATATTAGTGTTGAATCACCTAAAGCCAAAATCAAAGGAGAAAAGCCCAAGTCTAAACTAGGATCCTGCTTTGGAAACCCAAAAGCCCAGAAGGAGAAATCGAATATAAGCCTGCTAAATTTCAGCTGAAAGTCCAGCAGTCTCTGGTGAAATTGGTGGTGCATCAGCTGAGATGAAGGGTGATATTAGTGTTGATTCACCTGATGAAATTGAAAGGAGGAAAACCAAATCAAAGTTTGGATCCTGCTTTGGAAAACCAAAATCACCTGAATTGAGGGTGAATATAAACCAGGAAAAGTAAGTGTAGAAGGACCTGAAGCAGAGGCTGGAGTTTCAGTCCAATCTCCTGCTATTAAGGGTGATGTTGATCTAGAGTCTCCTGAGATAAAGGTGAAAGGCAGTAAACCAAAGACCAAATTTGGATCATGCTTTGGAAAACCCAAGAGTGGAAAACTGGAAGGGGAATACAAGCCAGGAAGAGTTGACGTAGAAGGTCCTGAAGTAAGTGCAGGAGCCAGCGTCAAGCGTCCTGACATTGAAGGTGAAATTGATATTGAATCGCCTGAAGTAGAAGTGAAGGGTAAAAAGGTTTCTGGAAAGCCAAAAGCCAAACTAGGATCATGCTTTGGCAAACCCAAAGAACCCAAAGTTAAAGGAGAAATAGACATTGAAGGTCCAAGAGTAGAAGGTGAAGTGCCTACTGGAAAAGCTGAAGTAGATGTCAAGGGTCCTGAGATGAAAGTGAAGAATAAGAAGGTAAAAGGAAAATCTGCTCCACTATGTGCTTCATGCATTGGAAAGGCATCACCTCCAGATGTAGATATAGATGCTGATGTAGAACCAGGAAGCATCAAGATTCGTCCCGAAAAACCAAGCATGGGAGGTAAAATATCAGTGGAAGGTCCAAGTATTGATGTTGAACCATCAGTAAAAGTAAAGGGACCTTCAATGCCAGAAGTACCAGAATTGAAAGGTCATTTGGATGTGGATGCAGATCTACCTGATTTTGAACCTTCCATAAAAATCAAAGGTGATATTCCAGATATCCCAAAGTAGAAGCTGAAATAGGAGGGAAAGCAGATATTCCAGAAATTGAAATCAAGGGTAATGTGCCAGCACTTCCAAAGATAGAGGCAAGTGTGGATGCACCTGAATTGAAAGTGGAAGGAGAGTTACCAAAACTGAAAACCGAAGGTGACATTGGAATAAATGTTCCAAGTATTTCAGGAGACATTAAGGGAATAAATATTGAAACACCTGAGTTCCCAAGTGGTAAAATTGAAGGAGATATTAAAGGTGACTTACCAAGCATTGATATTCCTAAAGCTGAAGTGTCTCTACCAGCAGGCCCTGAATTACCAAGTGCAGAAATCAAGGGAGAATTGAAAGGTCCAGAGATCTCGGGATCAGCCAACTACCAAAGGCTGAACTAAAGACAAAGAAAGCCAAACTTGGTCCATGTGCTTGTTTAGGCAAATCAGGCAAAATTGGCAAAGAAGAACCATACATGGCAGCAGAAGCTGGAGGAAAAGTAAGTGGAGAAGTTGAAGGCGTAGATGTGAGCGTAGAAGGACCCAAAGGTAGTGTTGGAGTAGATGTTGAATCTCCTGAGATAAAGGGTAAGAAAGTAAAGCTTCAGGTAAGCCTAAAATGTCATTAGGATCTTGCTTTGGGAAAGCAAAACCACCTAGTGCCCGTGGTGATATATCAGCTGATGCTGGTGTTGAAGGAACCATTTCTGCAGAGCCACACATCAAAGTTGAAGGAGCAGGAATTGCAGGTCCTAGTGCAGATATTACCCTTCCTGAAGGAAAGGTTGAAGCTGATATTGAATCCCCAGAAGTTAAAGTGAAAGGAGGAAAAGTATCAGGCAAACCGAAGATGAAATTTGGACCATGTTTCGGCAAAGGAAAAGATGTAGACGTAGAAGGCGAATACAAACCAGGTAAAGTAGAAGTTAAAGGTCCATCTGTCAGCGGTGAAGTTGGTCTCCAGACATGAAAGTTAAGGCAGGAAAACCAAAAGCAAAGTTAGGATCCTGTTTCGGTAAGCCTAAAGGAGCTGGAATTGAGGGTGAATATAAACCGGAGAAAATTGATGCTGAAAGACCTAAAGCAGGAGCCGAGGTTTCAGTCAGGGCCCCAGAAGTAGAGGGTCATATTGATGTAGACTCTCCAGATATAAAGATAAAAAGAGGAAAACCAAAGTCGAGATTGGGACCCTGCTTTGGAAAGGCAAAGGGTGAAGTAGACGGTGAATATAAACCAGGAAGTCTTTCTGTAAAGAGTCCTGATGTTGGTGTAGGAGCACGTGTACCGAGCCCTGATATTAGTGCAGAAGCAAGTGTGCAACGTCCTGATGTTGAAGCAGGAGTAAGTGTGAAAAGTCCTGATATTGAAGGTGAAATTGATATCGAATCACCTAAAGTGGAAGTTAAAGGTAAAAAGGTATCTGGAAAGCCTAAAGTCAACTTGGGATCTTGCTTTGGTAAACCCAAGGAACCAAAGATCAAAGAAGTGGATCTTGAAGTCCCAGGAGCACAAATACGAGGCGAAGTACCTGAAGCAAGAGGGGACATAGAAATGAAGATCGATGAGCCAGATTTTGAACCCTCCCTGGAAATCAAGGGTGATATTCCTGATATACCAAAAGTTCAGGCAGAAATCGGTGGCAGAGCAGATATACCAGAAATTGAAATGAAGAGGAATGTTCCAAAGCTTCCTGAAGTTAAAGCTAGTATTGGTTCGCCTGAATTGAATATAAAAGGGGAAATGCCGAAATTGAAGACAAAGGGGGATGCTGATGTTGAAGTAAGTGCTCCAAGTATTTCAGGAGATATTAAGGGGGATCTTCCCAAAGTTGAGGTCACTGTACCATCCGGCCCTACATTGCCAAGTGCAGAAATTAAAGGGGAGGTCAAGAGCCCAGTTTTATCAGGTTCAGGAGAGATACCAAAGACTGAACTAAAGACAAAGAAAGCAAAACTTGGTCCCTGTGCTTGCTTGGGCAAACCAGGCAAAGAAGAGCCATATATGGCAGCAGAGGTTGGAGGGAAAGTTAGTGGAGAAGTTGAAAGCATAGATGCAGGCCTTGAAAGACCAAAAGGTAGTATTGCAGTTGAGGTCGATTCTCCTGAAATTAAGAACAAAAAGGTTAAGGCCTCAGGAAAGCCTAAGATGTCATTTGGATCTTGCTTTGGTAAAGGAAAGCCTCCTAGTGTTAGTGGAGAAATTTCAACTGGTCTTGATGTAGATGTAAAGCCAGATCAACCTGACTTTAACATCTCTGCTGAGGCTCCAGTTCCACCTATGCGAAAGGGAAAGAAATTCAAGGTCAAGTCTCCAGATGTTGACATGAATATTGGAAGCATAGATATAAATGCAGATGTTCCTGAAGTTGGAATAGATGCTTCTGGTATTGGAATAAAGACTAGTGGATCAGATATCAATGGTAGTCTTGATATCCCAGACTTTGAAGGCCGTATTAAAAGCCCACATGTAAAGGGTAGCGTTGAAATTCCAGAAGTTAAAGGCAAGATCGGTATGCCTGAAATAAAGGGTAGGGGTGAAATCCAAGGAACTGTGCCTGATATCAAAGCTAATACTGATGTTGCAGGATTTAGTGGCAGAATTAGCATGCCAGAAATGAATGGAAATGTTGACATTCCAGGCTTTGGAAGCAAAATTGGTATGCCAGATCTCGATGGTAGAGCAGATATTCAAGGGTTTAGAGGCAAGGTTGACATGCCAGAAATCCCAGTCTTTGGCGCCAAGGTAGACATGCCAGATATCAAAGGCAAAGCTGAGTTACCAGGCTTTGGAGGAAAAGTTGACATGCCAGAAATTAAGGGCAGTGTTGGACTTCCAGGCTTTGAAGGCAGGATAGACATGCCAGAGATGAAGGGCAAGGTTGACAAGCCAGAAATCAAGGGCAGTGCTGAGATCCCAGGCTTTGGAGGAAAGGTTGACATGCCAGAGATAAAGGGCAGTGTTGGACTTCCAGGCTTTGGAGGCAATGTTGACATGCCAGGCTTTGAAGGAAAGGTTGACATGCCAGGCTTTGGAGGAAAGGTTGACATGCCAGATTGCAAGGTTGACATGCCAGGGGCTTTGAGGAAAGGTTTTGCATTTTGCCAGGCTTTGGAGGAAAGGTTGACATGCCAGAGATGAAGGGCAAGGTTGACATGCCAGGCTTTGAAGGAAAGGTTGACATGCCAGGCTTTGGAGGAAAGGTTGACATGCCAGGCTTTGGAGGAAAGGTTGACATGCCAGAGATGAAGGGGAAGATTGACATGCCAGAAATCAAAGGCAATGTTGGAATCCCAGGCTTTGGAGGAAGGTTGACATGCAGGCATGCCAGAGATGAGGGCAGTGTTTGGAATCCCAGGCTTGGAGGAAAGGTTGACATGCCAGAGATGAAGGCAAGTTGACATGCCAGGCTTTGAAGGAAAGGTTGACATGCCAGGCTTTGGAGGAAAGGTTGACATGCCAGGCTTTGAAGGAAAGGTTGACATGCCAGAGATGAAAGGGCAAGATTGACATGCCTGAAATCAAGGGCAATGTTGGAATCCCAGGCTTTGGAGGAAAGGTTGACATGCCAGAGATGAAGGGCAAGATTGACATGCCAGGCTTTGAAGGAAATTTGACATGCCAGGCTTTGAGGAAAGGTTTGACATGCCAGGCTTTTGGAGGAAAGGTTGACATGCAGAGATGAAGGGCAAGGTTGACATGCCAGGCTTTGGAGGAAAGGTTGACATGCCAGAGATGAAGGGCAAGATTGACATGCCTGAAATCAAGGGCAATGTTGGAATCCCAGGCTTTGGAGGAAAGGTTGACATGCCAGAGATGAAGGGCAAGGTTGACATGCCAGGCTTTGAAGGAAAGGTTGACATGCCAGGCTTTGGAGGAAAGGTTGACATGCCAGAGATGAAGGGCAAGATTGACATGCCTGAAATCAAGGGCAATGTTGGAATCCCAGGCTTTGGAGGAAAGGTTGACATGCCAGAGATGAAGGGCAAGGTTGACATGCCAGGCTTTGGAGGAAAGGTTGACATGCCAGAGATCAAGGGCAAGGTTGACATGCCAGAAATCAAGGGCAAGATTGACATGCCTGAAATCAAGGGCAATGTTGGAATCCAGGGCTTTGAGGAAAAGGTTGACATGCCTGGCTTTGAGAATAGGGTTGACATGCCCAGGCTTTGGAGGAAAGTTGACATGCCAGAGATTGAAGGCAAGATTTGACATGCCTGAAATCAAGGGCAAGTTGGAATCCCAGGCTTTGGAGGAAAAGGTTGAATGCCAGATGTGAATGTGGCAAGGTTGTTTTGCCTGGCGAGAAGAAGGGAAGCATGCCAGGCTTTGGAGGAAAGGTTGACATTGCCAGAGATGAAGGCAAGATTTGACATGCCCGAAATCAAGGGCAATGTTGGAATCCCAGGCTTTGGAGGAAAGGTTGACATGCCAGAGATGAAGGGCAAGGTTGACATGCCTGGCTTTGAAGGAAAGGTTGACATGCCAGGCTTTTGAGATTGACATGGAGATGAAGGGCAAGATTGACATGCCTGAATCAGGGCAATGTTGGAATCCCAGCAGGCTTTTGGAGGAAAGGTTGAATGCATGCAGAGATGAAGGGCAGAGTTGAATGCCAGAAGGAATGTTGACATGCCAGGCTTTGAAGGAAAGGTTGACATGCCAGAGATGAAGGGCAAGATTGACATGCCTGAAATCAAGGGCAATGTTGGAATCCCAGGCTTTGGAGGAAAGGTTGACATGCCAGAGATGAAGGGCAAGATTGACATGCCTGAGGCAAGGGCAAAATGTTGGAATGACAGGCTTTGGAGGAAAGAGTTGACATGCCAGAGATGAAGGGCAAGGTTGAACATGCCAGCTTTGAAGGAGGAGGTTGGCAAAGGCTTTGAGGAAGGTTGACTGCCAGGCTTTGGAGGAAAGTTGACATGCGCCAGAGATGAAGGGCAAGATGGACATGGCCTGAAATCAAGGGCAATGTTTGGAATTCCAGGCTTTGAGGAAAGGTTGACATGCCAGAGAAAGGGAAGATTTGACATGCCCTTTGAAGAAAGGTTGAACATGCCTTTGAAAAGGTTTGACATGCCCCAGGCTTTGGAGGAAAGGTTGACATGCCAGAGATGAAGGGCAAGGTTGACATGCCTGAAATCAAGGGCAATGTTGGAATCCCAGGCTTTGGAGGAAAGGGTTGACATGCCAGAGATGAAGGGCAAGGTTGACATGCCAGGATTTAAGGGCAAAGTTTGACATCCGGGCTTTGAAGGAAAGGTTGACATGCAGGCTTTGAGGAAAGTTTGACATGCCAGAGATGAAGGGCAAGATTGACATGCCTGAATCATTGCCCAGGCTTTTGGAGGAAAGGTTGACATGCCAGAGATGAAGGGCAAGATTGAAATGCCTGACAAGGGCAATGTTTGCGCAGGCTTTGGAGAAAGGTTGACAAAGAGATGATTGACATGCCAGAGATGAAGGGCAAGGTTGACATTGCCAGGCTTTGGAAGGAAAGGTTGACATGCCAGGAAAGGGAAGATTTGACATGCCAGGCTTTGGAGGAAAGGTTGACATGCCAGAGATGAAGGGCAAGATTGACATGCCTGAGGCTGTTGGAATCCCAGGCTTTTGAGGAAAGGTTGACATGCCAGAGATGAAAGGCAAGATTGACATGCCTGAAAATCAAGGGCAATGTTGGAATCCCAAGGCTTTGGAGAAAGGTTGAACATGCCAGGCCTTTGAAAGGAGGTTGACATGCCAGAGATGAAGGGCAAGGTTGACATGCCCAAGGCAATTGAGGACAGAGGTTGACATGCCAGAGATGAAGGGCAAAGGTTGACATGCCAGGCTTTGGAAAAGGTTGAGATGGGCTTGAAGGAAGGTTGACATGCCAGGCTTTGAGGAAAGGTTGACAGGGCTTTGGAGGAAAGGTTGACATGCCAGAGAGAGGCAAGGTGACATGGGGCTTGAAGGAAAGGTTGACATGCCAGGCTTTGGAGGAAAAGTTGACATGCCAGAGATGAAGGGCAAGATTGACATGCCTGAAATCAAGGTTTTGACAGCTTTGGAGGAAAGGTTGACATGCAGGATTGACAGAAAGGTTGACATGCCAGAGATGAAGGGCAAGATTGACATGCCTGAAATCAAGGGCAATGTTGATCCCAGGCTTTGGAGATGACATGCCAATTTGACATTTTTTGGAGGAAAGGTTGACATGCCATGCTTTGGAGGAAAGGTTGACATGCCAGGCTTTGGAGGTTGACATGCCAGGATGAAGGGCAAGGTTGACATGCCAGGCTTTGAAGGAAAGGTTGACATGCCAGGCTTTGGATTGACATGCAGAGATGAAGGGCAAGATTGACATGCCTGAAATCAAGGGCAATGTTGGAATCCCAGGCTTTGGAGGAAAGGTTGACATGCCAGAGATGAAGGGCAAAGATTGAAATGCAGGGCTTTGGAGGAAAGGTTGACATGCCAGAGATGAAGGGCAAGGTTGACATGCGAGGCTTTTGAAGGAAAGGTTGACATGCCAGGCTTTGGAGGGAATTTGACATGCCAGAGATGAAGGTTGACATGCCAGGCTTTTGGAGGAAAAGGTTGACATGCAGAGAAATGAAGGGCAAGATTGACATGCCAGGCTTTGGAGGAAAGGTTGACAGAGATGAAGGAAAGGTTGACATGCCAGGCTTTGGAGGAAAGGTTGACATGCCAGGCTTTGGAGGAAAAGTTGACATGCCTGAATTAAGGCAATGTTGGAATCCCAGGCTTTGGAGGAAAGGTTGACATGCCAGAGATGAAGGGCAAGGGACATGCAGGCTTTGAGGAAAGGTTGACATGCCAGGCTTTGGAGGAAAAGTTGACATGCCAGATGAAGGGCAAGGTTGACATTGATTGACATGCCAGGCTTTGAAGGAAAGGTTGACATGCCAGGCTTTGGAGGAAAGGTTGACATGCCAGAGATGAAGGGCAAAGTTGACATGCTGAAATCAAGGGCAATGTTGGAATCCCAGGCTTTGGAGGAAAGGTTGACATGCCAGAGATGAAGGGCAAGGTTGACATGCCAGGCTTTGAAGGAAAGGTTGACATGCCAGGCTTTGGAGGAAAAGTTGACATGCCAGAGATGAAGGGCAAGGTTGACATGCCAGGCTTTGGAGGAAAGGTTGACATGCCAGAGCAAAGATTGACATGCCTGAAGGGGAGGAAAAAGGTTGACTGCCAGAGATGAAGGGCAAGGGTTGACATGCCAGAGATTTGAAGGGAAAGGTTGACATGCCAGGCTTTGAAGGAAAGTTTGGACATGACCAGGCTTTGAGGTAAGGTTGACATGCCAGGCTTTGAAGGAAAGGTTGACATGCCAGGCTTTGGAGGAAAGGTTGACATGCCAGAGATGAAGGGCAAGATTGACATGCCAGAAATCAAGGGCAAGGTTGACATGCCAGAGATGAAGGGCAAGGTTGACATGCCAGGAAGGAAAGGTTGACATGCCAGGCTTTGGAGGAAAAGTTGACATGCCAGAGATGAAGGGCAAGATTGACATGCCTGAAATTAAGGGCAATGTTGGAATCCCAGGCTTTGGAGGAAAGGTTGACATGCCAGAGATGAAGGGCAAGGTTGACATGCCAGGCTTTGAAGGAAAGGTTGACAAGAAATCAAAGGCAAAGGTTGACATGCCAGGAAGGCAAGGTTGACATGCCAGCAAGGTTGACATGCCTTTGAAGGAAAGGTTGACATGCCAGGCTTTGGAGAAGGTTGCCATGCAGAATGAAGGGCAAGATTGACATGCCTGAAATTAAGGGCAATGTTGGAATCCCAGGCTTTGAGAAAAGGTTGATGCCAGAGATGAATGGGCAAGGTTGACATGCCTGAATCAAGGGCAAGTGTTGAATGCAGGCTTTGGAGGAAAGGTTGACATGCCAGAGATGAAGGGCAAGATTGTGCCAGGCTTTGACATGCCAGGCTTTGAAGGAAAGGTTGACATGCCAGAGATGAAGGGCAAGATTGACATGCCCGAAATCAAGGGCAGTTGAGTTTTGGAGGAAAGGTTGACATGCAGGCTTTGGAGGAAAAGGTTGACATGCCAGAGATGAAGGGCAAGGTTGACATGCCAGGCAAGGTTTGAGGAGGAAGGAGGAAAGGTTGACATGCCAGAGGAAGGAGATGAAAAGATTTGACATGCCAGGGGCAAGGTTGACATGCCAGGAAAGGAAAGGTTGACATGCCAGGCTTTTGAAGGAGGTTGACATCCAGACAAGGTCCCCATGGATGAAGGGCAAGGGAATCAAGGGCCCAGGCTTTGGAGGAAAGGTTGACATCCCAGAGATGAAGGGCAAGGTTGACATGCCAGAAATCGAGGGCAAGGTTGACATGCCAGAAATCAAGGGCAAGGTTGACATGCCAGAATTTTTCAACAAGATTGACATGCCAGAAATCAAGGGCAGTGCCAAAGCCCCTGGTTTTGAAGGCAGAATTGACAAGCCACAAGTTAAAGGAAAAGCGAAAACTTCAGGCTTTGGAGGGAAAATTGACATGCCAGAAACGAAGGGTAAAGTAGAGATAACAGGTTTTGGAGAAAAGGGAGACATGCCAGATATCCGAGGTACAGGGCCTAAAGTTGATATGC